ACACACACAAACACACACAGACACACACACACACCCAACCCCACCGTGAGGCACGGTGACAGCGTTGCTACGGTAACGGGGGTGTAAGTGCCCAGACGTCCAGGGTGAAGAGGTGGTGGGCCGGACAGCCATGTGATCACCTGGTTCTGGAGAGCCTTCACCATGCAGGAGAAGACGTCATCTAGGATCAGTGTGCAGCTGCAGTCTCTCTCCTCTTCACGTCTTTTATATTCATCATTTCTTTATCGTTACTTCTGCACAAACATGGATAGGGCTGATCCTGTTTCTCACAACTAGAGTCTCCGACAGCACATTTACAGACATGTTCAGCCTTCTCACAAGCATGAAGAACACTGGAGAGCCACAGCCTCACCAGTCACGCCCACCAGGTGACCGCCTGGCTCGTCGTCCAGTCCAGCAGCTGCTCCTTTAAGGAAGTCCTGAGGTGTGATGAGAGCCACATGCACACAACAGACCCGGTCCAACCGACCCGCCAACCAACTGCACGCCTTCAAAAAGCCCCGATACTGATGCTAACAAGTTCCATTCATGGAACTACCATGAATGAACAACATAACCTCAAAAAGTAAAGAAATAAATCTGCTGAACATGCAAATAATGCAACTCAATGTGTTTTACCTGAGCACTGAGCACACACAGCGCTTTACCTGCACAAGTCAGGGAGGGGACGAAGGACGCCCAACGATGACACACACACACAGACACACACACACACACACTCACACACACACACACACACACACACCCAGCAGAGCTCCTGGGCAGCTCAGGGAGGCTGGCCCCATGCTAGCTGGCATAGCTGACAAGGCATACCGCTCCCCTACAGTACCCAGGGAGAGCGAGTACAAAGAACACATTGTCTGTACGTGTGTGTGTGTGTGTGTGTGTGTGTGTGTGTGTGTACCAAGGCCTTGTCATGGCGCCTGCAGCATTGTTCAGCTGGTTGCCATCTTTGCGGCTGCCTGTGAGCGTACAGTTCTGTCTCTGAGACGTTCTGTCACATTGTTCAGGTCACAGCCTTCGTACTAACCAATGAGCTCATCTGTCCGTTGAACCAGCCGCTGCAGTAATGTGTGCGTTCAGAAAGGACACAGACACAAAGACGTGGACGAGTAAGAAAAAAACAAAAACTGGGTATTTCAGGAAGGGGAGGCGTGCAGTTTGGTGGATGCTCATGTGCACCTGCCTCTTCTTTAGACTCATTTAATGTGAAAATCAGTAAAGCATCCATGTGCCACGCTTTCATGTGGGCTACAAATCTAGGCAGGGGGTCAATGGAGGTGGCAGGGTGGGTGGCTGCTGGTGTGTGGGGGGTTAGAAAAGACAGGGAGCACATACATTAAAGCAAGGAATGTGAATCATAAGGCTGTGTGGACGTGGATTCTGCCAAACAGTGGTCTCCCTTGGCAACAGCTCTGGGTGGCCTTACATCCCAGGGACACAACAAACACACACCACCACACACACACAGCTGGAGAAGCACTAGCAGCCCTGAGTCCTATTCACGTCCAGATGGCGGCTGTGTATTTACAACCACAAGAACGTTTAAAGAGAATAAACTAACTGTACCAGTTTCAAAGGGGTCCTACATTTCTGGCCCTCGAGCTGCACTGGATCAGGGTTCCTGCTGAACTAGACCATCAGAACCCAGGAGCACACAGCTTTGTCCACACATGAACCACTCTTCATCCTTCTGGTTGGTGCACACTGAAGGCATACAGACGGCTTGAGAGCCAGCTGTGATGATTACAATGAACAGAACTCACATGAGAGACGTTATTTAGTTAAACGCTGCCTATTGTCACCAGTTTCCCCTTTTTGTGCAGTCTGTAGATTCACATCAGAGGCTCACTGATCAGCGTCCATTTCAAACCCTGTTACCAGACTGACAGCAGCCGTCCCGTCCCAGTCGCTGGCTTTCAGTCGGACTCTCAGCTGTGAGGCAGCTTCATGTTTAAAGTGTGTTCTACTCGGAGGTAAATGATTTGCTGACCATGTCTATCATCTTTCAACCATCACGGTGACGAAGACGAACGCCGGATACGGGCGCTGCATGAGGACGTGACGGCTCTGTCACGAGGCTGCTGGATGTTCTGGACGTTCTACCGATGTGGGCCAATAGAGCATGAGCATTAGCGCTGCTTTCTTTGGAGCCCATAGAGAACATATGCAGCGGCTGGGTTCATGCACTTATCTTTCTACAGTTGCCCTTGTTCCTACTGATGATGTGAGGGGGATGCTTTCTGGGCCGCTGAGCCTCCACTGATCACACAGGAGCTGTATGAACACAGTTGGGCCCCTACACAGCCCGGCGCTGGTCCTGGAGCTTTGCAAAAAGACAAAAAGGCAGCTTTCACTTGTGCAGTTTGTAAAGCTGAAATTGGACTGTTGGCTTTAAAGGTTAATTTGAGTTAATTCTAAACATGCATTTTTCTGAATGAACAGCTGAAGAGCCGTACCGGTAGCACGCTGCTCACGTGCATTCACTGTGCATACAGTCAGAACCGCGGCTGAACGGGCTCGTCTGCATATAATTTATACACAGATGACAACAAGCGTGTTTCTACAGCCTGCAAACTTGTGGCTAACTCAAAGCCACAGCTCCACACTGACTGAGATCCACAGAGCAGACGTATAGCAGGTTTAGGAATCACACAAAAACAATATTCATTTACAGTCTGTGTGTGTACACACAGTTTTAAACGTGAACCCAGTTTCTGGTACTCTGGAATCACTCAGACATCCGACGAGCTGCTGACTTTAACTGTTTCTTAGAGACCGTTCAGCCAGGCGATCATTTTGGATGAAACTGAGACATCTTGAAGCTAAACGGTGAAGCGTTTCTCTGTAAACCAGCTGACCCTCGCTGTTCGTCTGATAACAGTCCAGGTCCCTGGACTGGTCCCGCCACACAGCAGCAACAGGTCAAACAGAACAGCACCACAAAGAAAAACAAGAAGCACTGAAGCGACCGAGGCTCCCAAGAGTGAAGCCTCCGAGGTTTTCTCTACTCAGCTCTGCGAAGCAGACACCATGCCGTCGCTCCAGCCTCGTGTCCCTGTAGGGTTCTGATACAGGGGCACAATGCACTCTCCTGTGGACCCACTACATTACAGCGAAAGTTAAACTTAGACCTAAATCAGAAACCTGGCTTTTGCACTGGTATTGCATGTACTGATGTTTCTCCATAGTGCTGATATGGAGGGAAGCAAACACGCTGAGCTTTACGATGCTATCCTGGTAACGCAAAGGTGCTGCACGTTTCCTCCTTCAACTTCCCTCTCGGATGTTTGAGACAGTCAAAATTCACTTTTCACACCTCCTGTATATATGAATACACCCAGAAAGGGAACCAGGCTCAGATGCACAGCTGGAGGGTGTGATGACCAACCACCGGCGGGACATGGTTCTGAGGTTATCACAGGGAGGCCCTCCAGCCGATCTGTCCACAGACTCTGCTCTTTATTACGCCAGCTTTAATGTAACGCAGAGAGGACAGCTTTCTACTCGCCTTTAATTAGGTTTCAAGGAGAAAGCCTTTCAGGCAGACATAAAACTTTCAAGACTACCTACTTTTAAAGGACTTAGAAAAAGAGGTGAGGAGCTACAGCATGAGACTTAAACTAAAGACAGAAATTTGCTCTTAAAATAGATGGAAATCTTTTAAAAAGCTTGTTCTAAAAATGTGCTCCATCACCTGTAACAATGTACAGTTCCTCCCTGGTTCTGCTGAGATACTACTCACAATAGTACTACCAACAGTATACTAAGAGTACTTGTCAGTACTGCAAACATGCCCACGGAAGCAGACAGCACTGAGTCTGAGGAAGGCTTCTACCTGGTCTTTCTGTTGCTGTGCTATCACTTAGAGAGAGCTGCATGATCAGAAGAAGGGTTTGCAGAAGCTACCTACAAGCCCAGATGGGGGAGGGGACACCAGGCTACGGCTCAATCAGCTCAGACATCCAAGTGAATTTTAAAGGCAAACATCAAATCCTGAGAGTTATAAGACATGAAGTAAACTTAGACGAGAGCAAAACCAAATAACTCTGTCAACAAAATGGGGAGTAAAAAAAAAATCACAACAAACGCTGGTGAAAAAGGCTCAAACTATCCAGCGATTATCTATGCATGACTGGGAACAAGAGAGAGAGAACGAATGAGAAACAGTCCAAGCAGATAAGACTGAGCTAGAAGGAAGCCAGAATAAGAACACAATGCCCCGTCTCTGTGTGCACACTACGGCGGCGCTGATAGCACGGATTACATGGAAGGACTGGGCAGGTCTGACTGAGACGGGCTCAAAGCTGTGCGACAACACAACACACATGCTGAACAAGACGCATTGCTGCCAAGCAGGCCGTGAGGAGCTCCTCATGGCTCGGTGCTGGTGGGCTGTGAGCTTTCATTTTGAGTGAGACTAATTAGAAAAAGAGCCAATAAAAATGATAGTGTAATAAAGAGACAAGATTTTCTCTTTATCACAGTTTCTTTGGAATCTACATCAGACAGCTAGATTTCCAGATACGTTTAATATCAGACTGGCCTCGCTGACGTCCTGCAGCTTAAATACCTGGAATGCACCTTGAGGCATCAAGGAGTCAAACCTGTGAGCCTGGAGAAGCAGAGATCATATGAGGCCCAAACATTCAGCCTTCAGATTCTAAGACTGCACTCACCACATCATTGCACAACAACACGACTTTATGTTTGTTCCCAGCAGAAGCTCGAAGTCGGTTAAACAAATGTAAAAGATTAGGTGCATGAAATAAAGAGGAAAAAAGAGAAAGAGCAAGAAACTAGAGCAGGGAGCAGTGGGGAGAGTGCACCTGGTGATGAGCCCAACCGGTCATGTGACCAAGTGTTCTGCAGAGAGGATCATGGAATTACAGGTGATCAGCACAAGCGCCACGTACACACACACCAACACACACTTCATAGGCTTACCAGGACTGCTCCACTGACATAAGCACACAGTGGTCACTGGTACACCGACATCCCTTTCCAACCCTCACACTACCCACCAACACCTTCAGTAACATCAAGCGCTTATTAGACAGCCATTAGTCGCATCATGCAGCAGCAGCAGAACCAGTATGCAAGGACTCGTAAAGACAAAGAGACACCTGTTACGGGACACAAGCTCACGTGCCCGTTCAAGAACCATGCCAATGTTGGTCCATTCTTCTATATTCATCCTCCCAACACACAAACAAGCATCGTGATCGAGTACTTTGAACAATGAGTGAGTACCAAGAGCCTCAAACACTCGCCAGCGTCCTTACCGGCAGGTCGACGCTGACATCCGTCCCGTCCAGTAAGGACACACGGCAGGTGATGACAGACTTTGCATCCCCAGCAGCAGGGATGTGCGTCGTGGCCCGCTGGGCTTCTCGTAACCGGGCTTTCTCTGCATGTTTCCGGATGGAGCGCCGCCCCAGCGTCCTGCGCAGGAAACTCAGCATGGTGGGGGAGAGGGAGGGAAACGGGACCACACCTGGAGAGGACCAGAGTGGAGGCTGAAACAAAGGCCAGAAATGATGCCAAAAGCTGGGTGACAAAATGCTGTATTACACCCAGAACTACCCAGCTAACAGGAGGCTAACAGGAAGCTAACAGGAAGCTAACAGGAAGCTAACAGGAAGCTAACAGGAAGCTAACCATCCAGCATGAAGACCTGAAACGAAGCGGGAAAAGTGCACCTGGAAACTGACACGTGTGTCATTCTGGATTATCTAACATATGAGTTAATCAGTGTCTGATGTTTGTGGGCCTGCAGAGGTACCNAGAGAGAGAGAGAGAGAGAGAGAGAGAGAGAGAGAGAGAGAGAGAGAGAGATAAGACAGGAACTCCTAACCCTGTCCTCTCTCCCCCACATTCCTGACTACAGCCCTCCCTCTCCAAGTCTCTCCCTCTCAGCTGCAGTATGCTCTCCACCCACCTTTCCTCCCACCAGCCTCCATCTTTCCTCCCACGGCCCTCACACAGTGTCACTATGAAGGAACAGGGTCAGAGGCAGACCAATGGAACAGTTGGAGGAGAAGGAAAGCCTGACTCCCAGTGCTGACAAAGCTCCCAGAACCAATCCTTTTAGTTCATTCACTGAAAGGGAAGGCCACGCCTCAGGCCTCCCTACCAGCAGGTAAAGTGATTTGCAGTGAAAGTGAAAGACTGGCCAAACAATGACTGAAGCACGAGTTGAACCATAAAATAACTACGCTGTTGAATAGTCACGGACAGTTCTACAGAGCAGACATTCTCAATGGCACTGATGAACCATCTGTATTTGTAGAAACCATTCTTCAATAATGCTTTTCTTTAAACTAATCAATGAAGTCCTCTGTAGTTCAGCACGAGCAGCAGGCAGACAGGACGTCCTGCTCTGAGCCCCTCGTCAGGGGCACCGAGAAAAAACTAAAACCTAACAAGGCCGTGACCTTCTGTTCTTACCGGCACTTGTGCCGAATCCATGAAGCGCAGTCCGAAGTAGTCCTTCTCTACAATGTCCAGATGGTACATGATCTGCTCAAACAGTTCCTCACCTCTGGCTTTTTTCTGATGAGAGAAACACAGAAAGAAACAGAATCAATCAATTTGTATTTATATAGTCTCATGTACACACACACACACACACACACACGCAAACACGCAAACACACCACACCGGGAGGAGTTGCAGACCATGACCAGGGCACCAGAACCCGGACCCCCAACCCGGCAGACAGGGGGATCCCCACACCGAGGTGGAGAGCCCCCCAATCAGCCGGGCCAAAGGGACCCGCAGACAGAACCCCCAGCAGCAGACCGGACCCAGACCCCAGTGTGGAGGACCCCCCTCAGGAAACGTGGATATCAAAGTGACAAACTGCCTCACACAGTCATGAAGCAAACATCTGTGGAACACTAATGCTGTTAGAAAGAATGACATGATAAAAGGAGTGAGCCCTGACCCGAACCCTAACCTAAACTAACCCTAACCTAACCCTAANAGCGCACTGGATAATATGTCCGCCCACTGCCGGACTAACTCTTTTCTCTACAGTTTCCTGTTTCTGAGCTGATCTCTGCTGGTAGCTCAGGCCTGCAGTACCTGGTGTGAGAACAGCAACAAGTGTGCGCTACTTTCCCCTTTGCGGGCTGACCGCTACCACCGACCGCCTCGCAGAAAAGCACGACTCCGCCCGTGCGAGCGGTCCCGTACAGCAAAACGAGCAGCTCCGACATACACTTGCTCCGAGCCACTTGTGGCTCCGTGTGGATGCTGGGCTACTTACACGAACCTCCGCGGCGGACTTCAGGGAGAAAGCACGCCCGCCTGCATCGCAGACGACGGAACAGGAGCCTGGTAGGTTTCCGCGGCTTTCTTCAGTTTGTTTGTTTGTGTTTCCTCTTGTTTGTGCTGCAGCTCGCTGCCTCTGCGGGATGGTTTCTCTCCCAGGTCCCAACAAAAAGTAGGAGGCAGGCTCCGCTCCGGATGTGACGTCACTGCAAATCCCTGACAAACAGGCATTAGCATTTTTAAAGAGACAAACCCGTCTCCAGGTTGTTTTCCTTTGTAACCCAGTAACCACCGCGGCGTAGCGTTAGCCGCTAGCCGCTAGCCGCTAGCCTGCAGTTTTATGCTTTCTAGTGTTTTCAGTGGGAGACCTGAGAGCTGAGCTGCTGCTTTAGTTTAAGCCTAATTCATGAAGCAGCTCTCTGTCATTTCAGAGTTTCATCCCTGAGCTTTCATTTATTTTCTGAATGTAAACCGTATAGTGCAGCACATCTCCATTTGACAACAGCGCCCCCTTCTGGTTGCTTTAGGAAGTGCTGCTCTTCTTTCTTCAGTAGCATTGTATGTGTACTTAAGGATACTTATCTATGAGCAGCATTGTTTCAGGGAAAAGAAGCTTTGTGACCTGCTCTACAGCTGTTTGACATATTTCAGGGAATGCACTGAATCAAGGACACACTTCCCACCTCATTGTTTCCAGCAAAGACTAAATATTTAACATTATTCCTTACTATGATTACGTATAGTCTATTTCATTAACAGAATTACACATTATTTGATTTTTATTGTATTTTTTTTACCGTTCCAGTTTGTGCAAGTGTAAAACGCTGCCATCCATCAATCACAACATACAGTCTGATTTCCTACATGTTCAACAAGCAGAGTTTATATGCAAAGACTGAGAACTGCTGCAAAGACGGGACGGCCACTAAAGTGCACTAACCCCAACCCTAAGGAGGGAATGTGTCCCTCTCTATGTTCAAAATGACAAACTCATTAAAATCAAGTTAAAGGGGCTACTGCCCCGAAACAAAAGAGGACAGAGAAGCAAACGAAGCCTATCTGTGCAAAAAAGAAAATCTGATCTAAGGAAGAATGTATGTTTGAAAGCGCTACAGAATGCCTGAGCAGTCTGGTCTAATATGTTCTGAAAAAAATCACAAATCGTTGCATAAAAATTCACTCGAATCCAAGGAAAATAAATCTGCTGCTGAAGGACGTTTTTGCTGTGTGTGGACGATATAGTGGCAGATACAGTATGTTTGTCCTTTTGCCCTCAGCAATGTCTAGATATGCTGCATAAAGATGCACTGACAGCACCGTAAGCTCATCCTCATGCAGTACGCCTACCATGTGCTCACATGGATTCTGGCTGCATCTGTACACTCACAGATTAAACTGTCCCTCCTTGTGTTGTTGTGGGCCTTCAGGTGACCACTGGCATATTGCAGAGCGTATGGCAGGTATATGTACGGCAGATTTGAACTGTAGCATTAAAACACTCTGCTCCATTTACACGAGTGTTAAACTGTGTATTTAGTCCTTGCTATCACAACATAGATAGGAGATGTGTTAGCTCCCATTGCAGCATGTTGCTCAACAATACTACGAAATAAAACAAAACCAGGAGATGAAATCTGAAGTTGTTGTTGTTTTTTTAAGTCAAATCATCCGACTTTATCATTAATCTTTAATGTTGTGCACAACAGTGAGGAATCTGCTGGTGCACCAGTGTCCTACTTACAGTGTTTTCCCTCACAATTTATTATTTCCTTTGCTTTTTTTTTGGATAGCCTTCATGGTTGCAGCATCTCCTTTGCAGCCTGCTATAGGGTTCACTCTGTGGTAAAATCCTCACAAATCTAAAAAATTCTCATTGAAGTCTTCAGCACTGGTGCCATGTTTCTCATCTGCTCGCTCTCTCTCTAACGTTGCCCAACCTCACTTTTACAGTGTGGAAAAGCAAGGTGATCTGAAGCCACGTCTCCATGCTTTGACAGACAAGCTTTAATTGTTCATAATCAAGCTTATAGACATGTCCAAAGCACCGTAAAACCATGATACCAGAAAGAAACAAGCAACTGAGGACAAAGGTTTTTATGACACAGGTAGGAGTTAACCAAGGGTATAATACGGTAAAACATTTGTCATTATTTTGTGGTTCATTATATATACACTCGCTGTTATAGATTACGCTTCAAATAAAACAAATAAAAGAAAAAAGGTTTTGAAATAGCAGTCTTAAAATACACCATTTGTGTCACATTTGAATCATCCAAAGGAAAAAAAGCAAAAATAAAAATAAAAACAAAATCTTTCTGCTCACAAAGGATTTTCCCTTTTATTTTAAAGATTTTTTTTCATATACAACATTGTATTTACATGGTCTAGTATTATTTACACAAAATTAACAAGTGGCACTGTGTAGTTAGGAGTTCTTTTTCTTGTTCCCTACAGGTGTCTTATTTTCAAACAAACAAAAAAAAAAGATAAATTAAAAAAAGAACAACTCATTTTAACAATGCTTTATGTCTCTAACCTTTTTTTTTTTCCAGTAGCACTACCTGCCACTCAGCCTTCTACAAAGTGCTGCTCCTTCCCTATCCAACTAGAACTGTTATCATCTTTACAAAAATACAGCTACCCCGAGCCCGGCCCACGTCTGGTCCTCTGATCAGCACCTAAACGCACAGACAGTACCAACGATGTGTCAACAACAGACAGTGTGAACACAGACAGCTCGTTGCTGGATGTTTCTGTGCAGACGGAGACTCTGGCAGCCCTCAATGATCAATTCTTAACTGTTCATCACGGAGGGGGGGTTGCATTTTGTTTAGAAACTATCGAGGTTTTTTGAACTTGTGACTGATGCAACTTCCTCACAAGACGTTCATTAATTTAGAGTTGGTTGGCCCTGCTGCCAAATACAAAAGCCGACGTGAGTTTTTTTGTTGTTGTTTGTTGGATTTTTGCGCTCATACGTGTTGGGTCGTCAATAACAGAAAAAGTTAAAACCGGATATTCAGTCAGTCATTCACTGATGAGCCTCGGTTTGTCTTTCTGTGGGAAACAAGCTGTTCGATACTGTACCCACGGTATTCCGCTCAGATGTGTCATTTGCCTTGAGGCCATGCAGAGAGAGTGGGATCCATGTATAATGATCCACAAGACAGGCATCGGGGGAAAACAATGAGAAGAATGGACTGTGGATGTTGCGTGGGCTCTGCAGAAACGACTGAAGGATGTTAGGCCGATTTTGGGAGAGGGACGCGATACAGGAGAGATTAAGGAGAAAAACAAGAGCAAAAGCAGATTGTAGGCTCTTCTTGATCCCACCTCTACATGTGGCAAAAGTATGATTCAGCTGTTTGAAAGGGAGGCATGAGCACGGCGCCAACAGGCGAAGATTCAGCCTGGCTTCAAAGCGACGACTTCTTAAGAAGGCTGTTTGTGTTTTGATTTTCATTCTTTTTTCAAAAAAACTTGAGATCAGGTTAGATTAGGGCTGTGGCTTTATGGCACAACCTTTCATTCCAGTTAAGAGACAAGCAGGCTTCGACCAGACAGCTAACAAACTACATGTTAGAAATGGCAGAGGAGTCACACACAGCAGTAGGTTTGTCCAGCAGAATCCGTTGTAGGAGCCGATGACAGCAGGTCCTGAGGCAGCCGATAAGAAAAATATCTGAAGCTAAGAAGAGGCTGCGCTCCATGTACCACACTTCCACACGACAGCTGAACCTGAACCGGGACAACAAAAGACTCAACAAGCAACTTGACACTGGGTTTTAAAAATGCATCATCATTTAGTCTCTTTTCACTCATTAACACATCATCATGACTTAAAAACAACATGTGCCTTAAAAATGACGACGTATTGGCAAAGATCAATAAAAAAATGACTGAGTGAAGGTTCTGTTTGTGCTGCTTCTTTGAACTGTTCTCTGGCCGACCCATTTAGATCAAATGACGGAGCAGCGGTTGGTTTTACGCTCTGCTCCAGTGACCTCTCAGCGGCCCCACTGGACGCAGTCAAGAAAACAACAGCAATCTAGATTTTCTGAGTTTAATGCTGGGTCACATGATCCACCTGCCTCAGGTGTAGGAGCGTGAGCAGGTTCCTGGGTTCGCTCCGTTTACATTTTGCTCAAGTTTTCACCCACTGCATGTAAAAAAACTGTGTTGAGATCAGTGGAGGGAGCCAGAAAAGTTCATTCACACCCCGGTTGAGATCAGTTCACTGTCAGTTCAGCACGCAAAGATTTTAGCAAAGCTTGGGGGAGAAACAAATACTGATTGCATAAAAACTTGCAGCAGCTTTCAACCACTCCAGAGACCATGATGTCGGTGTCGGACCCCTACCGGTTTCTTTCTATTGTAATGACGTGTGCAAAGAAAGCAAGGAACATGTGGGTTGCATAAAGTGGATCAACAGTTGCTCATGGTGGTCAGAGGGAAGCTGCAGGAGATAAAATGGGACTTTGCTGTCAGTGTCTGGCTCAAGGACACGTCAGCAGGTTTAAACTGGCTGCGAATGACCCTGAAGAAAGAGATGAACTGACCTCAGCCTAGTCTAGGTTGTAACTCGGCGAGGCCGTGTGTCTACTGGGGCCTCTCGTCATGAGTCTTCCTGCTCTGGGACTGAATGTACATGTCGCGAGCTCTGTGCACAGTGAGGACACCTCGTCTCAACTACCCGCTGTGACGAGGACCTCAGGTGGGAGAGAGGTCCCAGTAAACACTGGTCCCCGAGGACTGTAAACCAGTTCTGTTGAACGCCACACCCAACGACGGCCACTTGTGTCTGTAAGCTCAAAAACACAGCACAAAATAGGATCAGCATCCGACTCGCCACAGCACTGAACAAGAGGTGAGACACAAAGTGCTTCCAGCTGTCCGTCTGTCCGGCTGTGCTGTCAGAAACTTAGACAAGAAAGCTGAGAAAGATTAAAAAAACAAAACAAGTACAATAAATTAAATCACTGTTTTTTCCCCACAAAAAGCAAAAGAAATCAAGAAGTAGTTAGAAGAAGAGGAATCACACTACTGGACTAGCTAGGGTTTAATCAGAAAGCATGAAGCTCTAGACTCATACAAACAGAACATACGACTCTTTGTTCAGTGGACAGGGTTTGACACAAACTAAACACAATAAATACTCTTTCTGAGGAACAAAAGATAAGGTATATCTCTTTATCAGCTAAAAGGACACTAAAAAAGGCAGGTCCGTCTGGCAGACTCGCTCTGAAGGGGGCAGGCGACCCTTTGGGTAAAAAAAGAGGGCGGAGCTTTCCATCCGTCCCCTTCGTACTTATGGCACTACAGCGATTCCATCCACTTTTTATTCTCTCCTACATGTAACGTCTTATTCTTTGTATACTTTTTTCTTTACCCTGATCAGACAACGCCCCCTACTGGTACCTATCCACCATCAGCTGGATTTCTTTTTTATTTGATCTTGTCCATGATTTTCATGTTTGTCTGTTTATGTCTTTTTTCCATTTTTGTCAGCATAAAGTGCAACAGTGCTTTTGTTCTCTGCTCCGGCCACCCGGCCTCGTCCTGGTCGCCCCTGAAGACCCGCCCGGGGGTCAAAGGTCACGGGTTAGCAGGCTCAGGCTCAGGGTTCACGCTGGTCTCGCTGGTAACGCTGGTGGCGCTGGCGACGCTCGGCTCCTCCACTTCCTCCTCCTCCTCCTCCTCCTCCTCCTCCTCCTCCTCCTCCTCCTCCTCCCCCTCCTCTGTCACTTCTCCCACGTCCAGCACCTCCACTTCCTCGTCGTCGTCGTCCTCTTCATCCAGTTCTCCTTCCAGCAGCTCCACCACAGCCGCCTCTCCTTCCTCTGCGGCCGCCGACTCGTCTCTCTCTTCTCCTGCTTTCTGCTGCTCTCTCTTGTCCTCCTCCCTCTCGTCGTTCACCTTTTCTCTCTGCTGGTAGAGCGCCGTCTTGAGTGGTTTGACCAGGCCTTCCTCGTACACTTTCAGGATGGCCTCACACACGAAGCGGTACTGGCTCTGATTGGAGAACAAAGAGGAGAGAAACTTTAGCTGCTGGCCTGAAGCAGCTGAGAGCATCTGCACAGACAAATGGATTCATCTACATACAGGTGTTTGTATCATCATGGCCCTCTGATCTCTCATGGTCCTGACAATATCTAGAGGATACACGGGCTGACCGCACTCCATCAGACACAGCGCCGTCTCCATGGTGATCAGAACCCCTGTCCGACCAATCCCCGCGCTGCAAAACAGCAGCAAAGCAGCGACACATGTTCAGTTACGGGTTAAATGCAGCAGAAGAGGAAGTGCACACAGAGAAAGGCGACGGCAGCCGCTACAGACGCTCAGTCAGTCAAAATCTGTCAAACAGGCGGCTCATCATTTTAGTTCATTCACAGACTTTTCTGTACCTGCAGTGTACCACCATCGGATGGTCCTGTCCAGCCCGTTTGGTCCGCACCAGAGCCACAAAGTCCAGAAAGTCGGTGGAGTCATCAGGAACGCCGTGGTCAGGCCAAGCCAGGTACTGGATCTGAGTGAGCTCCCTCTGCTGCTCACTCTGGACAAACACAGAAGGAAGGAAGCCGGTCAACAGCTTCATGTATTAGCATGTGTCTCTACTGGATAAGGCCCAGAGACAAAACCAGGACATTCACCTCAGAGCTCACAGACGCTGCTCGTGCTCAACCTGAGGCGGGTTATTATTAGTCTGTATGTGGGAGACCTCCCAGCATGCTTCCCTGAGCTCCCAGTGCTGGAGGGAGAGCTGCACAAAAGCCTGTTTGTGTGATTATGGCCTTTAAACATGTTATGAAACAGGCAGCGTGCCTTCATTCTTCTGTCTGCGCTGCACCACCTGGTAACTCACGGCGCAGCTTTCTGATTGATCCGACCAGACGACAGCGTTTCAGTAGATGTTCTACCCAACGGCCTACACACCACCGATAAACACAAGCCAGCCTCCCTCCTCCGTTATTCACGAGGACGTCAACAACAGCCAGCGCGGTACGATGGCGAGCTACTGTGACAACCGAGCAGAAGTCGGAGGGTTTACAGCCCACAGCAGCCCCAGGATGAGGACTAGAGAGGAGACAGCACTGACCACTGGTTCTCATGCGACTCAGAGCCCCCGTGTTCCTCATAGTACTGCCTCGCTGCATCGCCATGGTAACACATCTATCTCCATAGCAACAATCACAGGCAGAGGAGAATGCTAATTGCCTTCTCCTATAGCATATACTGTAAAGGTCATGCTACATGGGCGATGCACGGGGACGTAATCAGGACAACAGAGACAGCATGGAGTCGCAAACACAGCAGCCGCATCTCATCTTCCTCGATCGTCCTGAAAAGCCCCTCGTTTAGATTTGGTCGTGGCACATGTGACGTACCTGCAGCAGCAGCGTGAACGCATGACGAGAGGATGAGGTGGATGAAGGGGAGTACGCCTCACTGTCACCATCCTACTCTGCTCCTCTGTTGGCTTTCTCATTCTCTCTGTTTCTGCAATGTGACTGACTGGTGGTTGGGTTGTCATGGTAACCACATCCCAATATGTGGCCCGCATGCAGCAGCGGGAGCCAGAAAAAGAACAGCCCACACTGGTCACTATGGCAACACACCTCCTCGGGGTCCTGTGCAGCTCATCCTTCCTGAGACACCGGTCCCTCTCTGTGATTGGACCGAGTCTCTCTCCGGTTATCATATATGTATGTATGTATGTATTTATTTATCTATCTCTGTGAGGCGCTCTCGGGCTGGGCTGTGCTTACCTGTGTGTGCGTGAGGCTCATCTCCCGGACCAGGAAGGCTGAGTTGCCCTCTTCATTGTGGCACGTAACTGTAAAGTCCCCGTAGGTAGCACTGCTGTCTGGGTTGGGCCAGTACTGGTGACACTTCACCTATAAACACAGACGGGCGTTCTGTTGGTACCTGAACTTTAACTCACTTCACAGGACACAGCGGTTAGCGGCTAGCTTTATTCTCAGCAGTCACACATCAGACGCTTCAGTTAAACATCTGCTCCTTGAGATCACATTCACGACAAACACATGAACATCATCGATACAACTTTAAACCTCAAGTAAAAAGCTAATCGCTCTCAGACGTCCTTTCACGGGACCCAAAATGCAGTTCTGTAGATATTTTAGTCTGCAACCAGCACAGCTTCTGGTGGCTACTCTGTTATGTAACGCTGGTCAAGACTCACTTCCTTCTAAAATTAACAAAAGACATGAGTTGCAGAAAAGTTTGCAGCGTGTGGCTTTGCAGGGTTTGTGAAATAGTCAAATATTACATGCATGACTCACACACTGTCAGAACTTTGGGCTTCTACAAAGGAAAGCTAGATTCAGAGCACCCCCCAAAAGATTTTATCGTCTGTTTGTGTCCAGGTTTGGGAAAAAACTGAAACAGATGAATTTCTTGAGCGTGCTTCAGTACGTACCCGGCCCCTCTCCACCTGCGTGGTCAGCATGACCACCATAGACGAGCCCTGCTCCCAGGTCATCTGCCAGAAGTCGGGGCAGGTGTTGGGCAGTGGGCCCTGGCACGCTATGTAGCGGTTGATCAGACTGGATGCTGGAATCTCCATCTACACAGAGCAGGACATGTGGAGGGATTAGACTGACTGACTTTGATTTTAGGAGATGAGCTTTGTGCAGAGCTGAAAGGCCGTCACACATGATCAGATACACAGACAGGACCACACTTCTGCCTCTTGGTCCAGTTTCTTGGGATAAGAGCTTCTCCATTGAAACATATTTAATTATAATCCTCCATCCAAAACATTAGTCAGACAAATGTGTTTTCATGGACACTTGTTGGCTTGTCGCTCCGTAGCGGCTGTCTAATGCTGCTATCACAATAAATACCCGCACACTGAACACACCAGACATGCAGAGCGCTCACGGTGCTCCACCTACAACACACCTACAGCACACCTACAGCACACCTACAGCACACCTACAACACACCTACAACACACCTACAGCACACCTACAGGACACCTACAGCACACCTACAACACACCTACAGCACACCTACAGGACACCTACAGCACACCTACAGGACACCTACAGGACACCTACAGCACACCTA